TTGTTTCTGTGCTAGATCACAGAGAATGATCGACTCTAAATTCACCCAAGTTGCTGTGAAGTCCGTATGTTTGTCCTTCTTTATGGCTACATAATAGTCCATCGTGATATGTACCACATTTTTTATCCAGTCCAGCTTCGATGGACAACATGGTTGGTTCCATGTAAAGAAGGTATACAGGCAGCCAACAGACACATGAAAGAGTGCTCAGCCTCACTCATCATCAGAGAAATGCAAGTCAAAACCACATTGAAATACTACCTAACACCAGTAAGAATGGTCATCATTAATAAAAAAAAACAACAGATGCTGGGGAGGATGCAGACAAAAAGGAACGCATCTACACTGCTGGTGGGAATGCAAACTAGTGCAACCTCTTTGGAAGACAGTGTGGCAATTTCTGAAAGAACTAGAAATTGACTTTTCATATGACACAGCAATTCCCCTATTGGGAATATACCCAGAAGAACTCAAATCATTCCACAAAAAAGATACCTGCATATGTATGTTTGTTGTAGCTCTATAAAATAAATTTTTTAAAAAAGAAAAGTACATATAAAATGTATTGTACAATCAGTAAAATACTAAAAATTAATATATTTTAGGTCAAAACATCTTTTTCATTAGGATCTTTAGGCAAAGTCTAAGTAAGGTAAAATCGTATAATCAGAAAAAAATAGAAAAAGATAGGAAGAGTGTAAATATCATACTCACAAAAAGATCTCTCCAATAATAACACAACATGACAAGATTAATAAAACATAAAGACAACCAGCAAAAAAAAAAAAAAAAAGATAGTAAGTGGATTTTATCTCAATAAAACTGTTAGAAAAAAACACATAGTCATTACAATATAAGCTTTGAATTCAGTCAGAAAGAAGTAAAAATATAAAGGCAAACGAGTGGGTTGGGCAAAAGTGATAAGACAAGAATACTGGATGAAAAAGGGAAAGAAAATGCAAAAATATTATTTTCCTTTGAATATGACAAGCATTTAGCCTAAAGATAAATAAAACTTCTTTCAATGCCCATAATTTTCCAAGGAAGGAAACCTGGAAGTATCAAAAGAGCAAGACTTGGAGGGAGTCTTGGATCTACTATTGTGGGCCATATGACCTTATGAAAGGTACTTAAATCGCCAAAGTCTCTATTTCTTCCTTACAAAATGAAGTCTTCATTATAAAATAAAGTCTTACAATCCCCATAGCACACAATGTCCAAATTCTCACTAGGTATCCAAAAAATATTAGCTGTGATTTTTTAAAAGTAATTCAGCCCTGAAAAAAAATTGTGACGTCCATAGTCAATGTATCAATAGTGTTAAAGAAAGAAAAAATTTCTCTTTTCCAAATTCAAACTGTCAAATTACAGCCTCATTTAGAGTCAGTCAAGATTCCTGGAATCTTCTCTCTGTTTTGTGTTTAGCAAAGCTAGCACTGAACAAACTCATGTTGAAAACATATTATTGACCTTAACAGAGTTGGTATTTAGATAGAATCCATCCTTTTAATCTTTTACTGGTAGTCAGGATAAGTGAACAAGCATCAATAGTTATAAGCTTAATCTGGCCCAAGCAAGGACAAATGAATTGCATGATTATGACTTTCAAAACCAAAGAGTTCGTTGTAAACCTTAAGGGTAAAAAAAGGCATTACTTATTATACAAAGTCCAAAGTTGAGAAAGCCAAGCAAAATTCAATTTTGTATGGTTTTCCAACTGAGGTTTTGCTTAAATATAGGGTTATTCAATTTATTCTCTTATCTGTATTAATTTGTTTTATTTCCTTGATTTAGACTGTCTTTCTGTACTCCTAATTATATTTGATAGTCAAAAATCTAAAGAGGAACGGATAGACAAATTACCACCAAATGCCACTAGGAAATAGACTTATGACTATGCTGAATATTTTCATTCTTGAAAACTTAACTGAATCATAATTCACACATGATATAAATTATAAGACAGAATAAATGGCTTCACAGAATGCATGCTGACTCCAGTGGATACCATGCAGGTCAAAAAACAAAAGATTAGCCTCAAATAGTCAATGTGGCCTGGCAAGAACCACTGAATTGAATATATTTTACAACTTTAACATACTTCACAGGCCAAAACAGCAGCAGTGTCACATACAATGAACACCCATACGAAGCTTGTAAAGCCTTAAACCAAACAGAAAAATACATTACAACCATGAAGGCTCAAAGAGAAATAGATTATGTCTACTTATCCAGATAAACATAAAGCAATTCATTACCAAATTTTTTTAAAAATTAATTCCCAAAATTAACTGTAATGCAGTCTATTTTGACAAATTCCACAACTCAGAATATTTGTAATATTTATGAAGAAAATATGGTAGGTAACACATATTCACCTCTAGTAAGCATCAATAAAATGTTTTACCTTCAAGACAAGAGAGACAGATGAAAAAGAAAATGAGTATTCTTCTTTTAAAAATCAAATGAACTAACTGGTGGTATTGCTTTAATATTCATTAATGCCCATCTTGTTATAAGGACTGAAGGGGGCTACCAGCTATTCTTGGAAGGACAACATATTGAATTTTAATTTCATCTACAACATATTAGTTTGCGTTTCTTAAAAGTGAGTTTTGGATAAAAAATTATATGGGACTTGGATTTCTATAATGCTAAAAGAGAAGGGAGATAGGAAGAAACACACAATGGGAAAGAGATATGTCTTTAACCAAGCAAAGGAAGGAGTATTGATGTATCAAAATAAGAAATATTTATTAAATAAAATATCTACACATAATATCTCAATTTCTCTAGAGGACAAAGGAATGTGAGAAGTAAGGTATTACAGTACAATAGTGGGTTTCAATTTATCTTTGTTGGAAGTGGTTTGGATTGGGGGAAGAAATTTAGGGCTAAATATTCAGCAATCAAATGGTCTCCTAACTATACAAAGAAGTTACAATAGCTTCAGTAGATACCATTTGGATGAAGAAATTAAGTCATTCTCATGTATTATGTGAGTTTCAGGGGAAAGATCAAAGAATTATTTAGAACCTCCTTGAAGGCATTGACTATACCTAATTGGATACCAATTTGTCAAGAGAAAGCTCAATATTTAGAGGACACCTATGTGAACAGACATTATACTAGGTCTTTTTTGTGTGTGTCAAAATTCATTTTATCCTCATTTGAAGAAACAGAAGCTCAGAGAGGTTGAATAAATTAGTCAAAGAACACACAGCTAACAACTTGTTACATATCAAGTATAGGCCCACAGGTGCCTAGACACAAAATGCTGCCTATAACAACAAGCTACATTTTTTATATCTCCAATACAAACTAGAGTTAATGATGATATATTAGAGAAATGGAATGAGAAAAGTCAATGCCAAACTCAGGGCATTTCTATAGCCTTATGGCAACAGCAGAAGATAGGTGGAGAAAATAGTGGAATTATAGAAACAATAAGAGTGAATTACTATTTATTAAGGGAAAAAGTTAATTTCAGAAGTGAGTTGATGCCTGTTTAGAAAAAATAATGAAAAGGAAATAATCCAAAATGGTAACAATCACCTTTTGGAGGGGAAAGTACAGAATTCTTTCTTCTCTTAAAGTTTATATCTAATTAAAAACTGATATAAAAATAACATTTAGAATTATTTATTATAAAATCAATATACTTATTCTTTTTTTTTTTTTTTTTTAAGAGACAGGGTCTTGCTCTGTCACCCAGGCTGGAGTACAGTAATCCTGACTCACTGTAATCTTGAACTCCTGGGCTCAAGTGATTCTCCCACCAAACCTCCCAAGTAGCAAAGATTATGAGCACACACCACCACACTTGGTTAATTCCTGACCTCAAGCAATCCTCCTGCCTTGGCCTCTCAAAGTACTAGGATTACAGGCATGAGTCACCGTGCCAGGCCTATACAAGTAACATAATTATTAACATAACACTTCCCCATCCCAGTTGACAGATAGAAGTAACAAAAAACAAAATATGTAGTCATGTGTGGCATTTCTCTGCTATGATAGTCCTCTGCCATTAAGTTCTAGTAACTTATCCAACTATTGGGCACATGAGATCTGAAAGCATAGTCCTTAGTGCACATCAGTTTCTGAACAGCAGGGATGTTCACTGCCTGGTGAAATAAATGTCCACTCAAAACAACATAAGCGTATTCTCATAATAAGATTTCAAGTAAATATCTAGCCTCTCTCTGGGGTCTATTTTCCTCATATGTAAAATGGTATTAATCCCTACATTACAGAGTTATTGAGGAACATACATGAAAAGTGCTTAGCCCAGGAATATAAACATATGAACACTAAATATAGCTGCCAATTATATTATTATATCATTATATTCATTATCATCACTGTCAACCATAACTAGCCACAGTCTTAAGATAAGAGATTTCTACTTAGTTTCATTCACTAACAAATTATAATTTGTGTATGTATGTTCCTTGTGTCAAAAACTTTGGTGTAATTACCACATTTTTCAAAATAGTAAAGATTCTCTCTGCAGTGTTAAAAAGTAGAACAATCTAAAGTTCAGAAAATAATTTACAAATTTAGTTCTAACATTGACTCACTCTACTCAATCTAATCACTAGAAAGGAGAAAATCCTTTCTAGATCTTTAAGTGGCTAGCTATAAAAGTGTCACTGGTCTGTGCAAATCACCTGACTCTCTTTAATTACAAAATTAAGCAAATATATTCACAAGTTCTCCTATAAGTATAACTTCTTTTATCTTAACAAAAATTAATAAGAACAAGGAAAAATTCAAACTCTTGTTTTCTTTAATCTGCAGAGAGTATCTACATAGCCAGATGGTTTAACACTCCCTGCTAGAAAGAATTTGTAAAGTAGGTCTTGCTTCACTCTTCCAAGCAAAAATTGGAAATAAATCTTCAGACTTTCAGTTACTTGAATCTAATCTCATCCTTGTAGCTACTCTGCCTCGTAAAACATTTCCTTCAAAATTATTCAAAGCAATTCAAAAACGCCTACCTCAGCTTGGCAGAGTGCATGAAGACCTTGTAACACCAAGGCTGCTGGAGTAGCTTGATCAGGCTTGGTGCATTCATTCAACACCTGAGAAATAGCTGCTAACATATCTGCACCATGCTGATATGGCCTATGAACAATGACAGTTTAAGAGCAAAGTTAAAGTCAAAGAGCAATACCACTCTCAGGTCTCTTACCTAAACAAAAAACATTATTGTTTTTGTATTCCCTTGTGTCCACAAAATGTTGACCCTCATATACCATATGCTTTGCTTGTCTTAAAAAAGATGCATCATGATCATTACTGCTATAACTTGATGTTCATTTTACATAGAAATATTATCCAAAAAAGGCACTTTTCACAGATTCCATTTGCCCTAAATTATAAATCCTATTGTCTAAATTGAGAAAAACTCGATTCAATAATAATGATGAAAAGAACTAACTTGCCTAATTGAGACTATCAGTAAAGATAAGAGTTATTTCTGCCTCGTGGTTGTTCTGGTATCAGATATTGACTAAAAAAGCAGGAATTTTTAGATCAGAAGACAATTTGTAGTAGTAGCAATACTAACTAAAGTTGTTACATCTATCACATATTGGTGATGATGATAAAAATAATAAAAATTATGACTGACTGCCCTATCTCAAGCCAGCCACTGTGCTAAATTCATTCACTCATCCTCCTCCTCTTCCTCATTTTTCTAATCCACATGTATTGTGCTATCTTCAAAATATCTTTAACTTTATAGTTATGCAAGTTTCTTTTCCCTAAATCCCTTGCTACCCCTCAATAATATTAAGACTTTTGTCTAGTAAACAAAATGTTAACTGATAAAATTGCCTGTTATAGCCAGGCTCAGTGACTCAGCCTGTAATTCCAGCACTTTGGGAGGCTGAGGTAAGTGGATTGCCTGAGTCCACAGGTTCGAGACCCACCCAGGCAACTGGGCGAGACCTCATCTCTACAATAAATCAAAAAATAGCTGGGCATGGTAGTGCACACCTGTAACTTCAGCTACTTGGAAGACTGAGGCGGAAGGATCACCAGAGCCCAGCAGGTCGAGGTTGTGATGGCCAGGAGCGTGCCACTGCACTCCATTCTGGGCAACAGAGTGAAACTCCAACTCAAAAAAAAAAAAAAAAAAAAAGATCCTGCCTATTGTTTCACATCGATTCTATTTCTTCACTGTTTCACAAATGGAAATACCTTTCCAAAACTGGAAAAATTTCCCAGATATGGAGGTAGTAACTGAAAGGAGCACTGAATAATTTATCAATAGATTCTAATCTGGTCTGATATTCTACCTCTCCTGAGCCCCAGCTTTAAGTATATAAAATGTCACTTAATAGCTTTTCATCCCTGAAATTTTTTCATGGTAATACCTCAATAAAATCCAAGTTCTAGGTCTTAAGTTACATATGTGTAACTTTTAGATGAGGTCGTTTTTATTTTTGACTTGCTGAAAAGTTTAGATAAGAGCAGAAAAGTTGAGGCATAGCTTCTGATCTAAGATTTAACTTGAAACAGGAATCATTCATGTTATCAGCATCTGGGCCAACACACTGCACAACTTTAGGAAGTACTATTCACACTGCTGTCATTGACAGCAGTGAGAATGATGTTTGCAGGAATTTTACAGTACAATGGCCTGATCAACATATGAAATGGAAGGACTGCAACCATTTCAAATGTATCAGATCTATTCCTCTGTAATCATTTTTACCTTACCTCTTACCAAAAAAAAAAATTCTCACAAGGTAGAACTTTGCTTATTTTATTTCAGTCTTGTCACTTCCAGTCTATTTATTAATCCATAATCTATCTAGAACAATATTTTCATGTTTTCAAAAGCTTATAGCACACTTGAAAATTATCATTTCCTTCCCTGTTATAGTGTCTAATAATCCCATAGCAATGAGTCACAAATAATTTCTTCCCTATTAAAACTACTTAGAAGAATCAGGCATAACACTGGAAGAATACCAGAAAAAACACAGTTTACGACTATAGTCCACTACTTAGTTTTCAGGAATCTACACACAGAAAAATAGAACACATAATATGTTTTATTTCAATATTAAATTACCAGAAAAAGATGCAAGTATCATATAATCCTAGATAAAAGACTAGACCTTAAAATGGAAAGACATACTTGCTTCTCAGAGCTAATGTTCATTACTAAGCTTTTTTTTTTTTTTTTTTTTCTTTTTTGAGTTGGAGTCTCACTCTGGAACCCACACTGGAGTGCAGTGGCCACCCCCGGCCACCACAGCCTCGATCTGCTGGGCTCCAGCAATCCTTCTGCCTCAGCCTTCCGAGTAGCTGGAACTACAGGTGTGTGCTACCACGCCCAGCTAATTTTTTGATTTATTTGTAGAGATGAGGTCTTGTCAAGTTGCCCAGGCGGGTCTTGAACCCACGGGCTCAGGCAATCCACTCACCTCAGCTTCCCAAAACGCAGGATTACAGGCTGAGCCACCAAGCCCGGCTATTACTATGTCTTATATTCAGAAAACTTCCACTGAAAAATATTTTATTTGTACTCATATATCCTCTGCCTATCTTTCCTTGCTTCTTGCTTACAGTAAACAAATTAAATACAAGATAATATATTATAAAATGTATTTCCAAGAGTTAAGGACAGCTCACCTCTGCTTACAGATATCTCTGATTGATGCTGCTTTTGCAATCAGCTTCTCCCACTGGATCTCCTTGCTCACAGAGAGAGAAGGGACATCAGACATGGCCATGAAGCGCTGTAGTTCAGGATAGACACGGTCCTAACAAGGCAATTTCACAAAAAGGTAATTTCTCAACTTGAGCTGAATAATCATTATCTCTTTTTATGCATCATTTCCATCTCCAAATCTTCCATTTGCATTGCAAAACATAATATATTTCTTCCAATCAGTGGAGAAGAATGCTGTTGTGATTACTGGGAATTTTCTTACAGACCCATGTAGGATTCATTTCACAAAACAAGAAGAAAGTAACTAAATGTCACCCTAATTACAAAGGCTTGAATCACTTATAACCATATTTCTATTACTTTCTCAAGCAAATGGAAAGATAAATTTCAGAAATAAGGAAGTAAGATTTTATCTTCTCGATTTCTCTGAGAGTCAATAACAACTCTCATTACAGATCAAATGCATCACAATAAATCAAAATTTCTCAACGTAATCATTGATGCCACTCTCAACTACCACTAAATCAAAGCACTGCTACATAATTATTTTTCTTCACTGAAAGGAACACATTTAACACTTATACAAGTGTATATATGAGCTTACCTGCTTTTCCCACAAAGATGTCAACAAGCGTAAAGTGACTGCTCTTAATTGTGGGGTGGTTCCAAGAAGTTGGATTACTCGTAGAATCTGTCCTACACATACCTAGAAAATATTGAAGAAACTCTGGTTTCATAAATGTAAATGTAGACAACCTCAAGGTAACTAAAAGTATTTTAAGACCCCTGCTAAAAAATAAAGACTGAAATGAAAGCTTACTACAATATCACTATCCTTTTCAGAGGATGAGAAATAGTTTGGGAAGGGTTAATTCTCAAACCCAGAGCATAAGGACCTAATCTAAGACAGTGTGAAAATTTGGATATTAAGTAATTTTTAAAAATTAATTACTAAATATTATAAAGAAAAACTTCTGACTTTAGACATTACTTTCTGTAAAATATGATCCAAAAAGAAAAATAGTGATCATATAAAATTTAGGACTCAAAATTTATTAATACAAGAACAAATTCAATATATCATTCATGTCTCACTTTATTTTTATTTATTTATTTTTTTTGAGTTGGAGTCTCACTCTGTCACCCAGACTGGAGTGCAGTGGCCGCTCCCGGCCACCGCAGCCTCGACCTGCTGGGCTCCGGCGATCATTCCGCCTCAGCCTTCCGAGTAGCCAGAATTACAGGCATGCGCTACCATGCCCGGCTGATTTTTTGATTTATTGTAGAGATGAGGTCTCACTGCCCAGGCGGGTCTCGAACCTGCGGGCTCAGGCAATCCACTCACCTCAGCCTCCCAAAGGCGCGGGATTACAGGCTGAGCCACCGAGCCCGGCTCTCACTTTATTTTTATTCCTCAAGTAAATTGGTTAATATACTAACCTTGTGAACACCAAGTGTAGGTAAAGTATACAATATATTATTGCATAAAATAGGTTCCAGCGGTCTTCCCAATTTGAACATCAAAACTGGAATCAGATTTGGCACCTAAAATGAATTTTTAAAATATATGAAGTATGCCTTTTTTCCAAAAAATAATCTCTAAATCAATATTTATCTCTTTTTTTAAAGGAATACTATGAATATGAATGAATTAGAAGATTAGAAAATGTCAGTTAGCTATTTCTTGCTAATGATAATTTCATAGCACCATTAACATTTCACCTTTTTTATAATTAGCTGCCAAACACCAGTCAAAAAGTGTTTCATTAACTCTGAGCAGCACAATAGTTAAGATATAACCTACCTCAAAGAAATTTACAGTTCTAACGTACTGGCAACACTTAATACATATATAAACAAGAAAATAATTTCACATATTGAAATATTCAATTTGGTTACTCCAATATGAAATCATTAAAATCAGTGTACCTGATGACCCCCTTGGGTCCCCTCCCGCTCTGGGAGTTTTTTGCCCTTTCAATAAATCCTGCTCCCTCCCCCCCCAAAAAAATTAACTGTATCATAAAAGGGGTCAATGAACAAAAATTTCCTACCCATCTCAATCTCTATAATAAATGAGAATGAATAAATAAAATGAAAAAAGCAATACAATCATGGATCAGAAGGCTTAGTTTTATTAAAATGGCATTATTTCCCAAATTGATCTAATAATTCAACATAATTCCTATCAAAATTCCTGCTAGCTGCTTCTTTGCAAAACTGGAAAGGCTGATCATAAATTAATGTGTAAAAGCAAGAACCTCTGGAGAGTTAAAACAATCCTGAGTGAGAAAAACAAAGTTTGATGATTCAAACTTCCCAATTCTAAATGTACAACAAAGCTAATCAAAACAGTGTGCTACTGGCATAAGCCTAGAAATACAGAATAGAATAGAATTCAGAGTCCAAAAATAAATACTTGCGTTTATAATCAATTCATTTTTGGCAAGGATGTCAAGAAAAAAATATTGGGGAAAGAAGAGTCTCTTGGAGAAATCATGATGAAATTCAACAACTGGATGTCTACATGCAAAAGAATGAGGCTAGACCTCTTGCTCATGCCACATGTAAAAATTAACTAAAAATGGATTTCAGACCTAAATATAACAGTTAAAACTATACTTTTTGAGGCAGAGTCTCACTCTGTCACTCAAGATGGAGTACAGTGGCATGATCATGGCTCACAGCAGCCTTGACTCTCTGGTCTCAAGTGACCCTTCCATCTTATCCTCCCAAATAGCTGGAACTACAGTTGTATACCACCATGCCTGGCTAATTTTTGATTTTTTTTTTTTAGAAACAAGGTCTCTCTAATGCCCAGGTTGGTCTTGAAATAATTTTTTTGTTGTTATTGAGTCAGTTTCACTCTATTACCCAGGCTGGGTCACGGCTACCACAGCCTCGACCCCCTAGGCTCAGGTGATCCTTCCACCACAGCCACCCAAGTAGCTGGAACTACAGGTATGCGCCTCCACATCCAGCTAAGTTTTTTAAATTATTATAAAGATGAAGACTTGCCAAGTTGCCCAGGCTAGTCTTGAATCCCCAGGCTCAAGCAATCCTCTCCTCTCTGCCTCCCAAAGTGCTGAGATTACAGATGTAAGCCACTGCACCCGGCTTAAAATTCTTAAATAAGATATAGGAGTAAATCTTTGTGACACTGAGTTAGGCAAAACTGTCTTAGGTATGACACCAACAAGACAACCAACAAAAAAAACCCCATGGATTGCATCAAAGTAAAAGTGCTTATATTTTAGAAAACACCATTAAGAAACTGAAAAGATAAACCACACAATGGGAAAAAAAAATTACAAACAAGGGACTTGAATTTAGAATATATATATATTTAAAAGCCTAAAACTCAATAATTTAAAAAATAGAATTTTAAAAGGACAAAGGTTCTGAATATACATTTCTCCAGAGACAATAAACAAATGATCAATCTATAAAACAGTCTGGCAAATCATAAACAGTTAAACATACAATTACCATACGCTCTAGCAAATCTTTTCCTAGGTATCTACCCAAAAGAAAAGAAGACATATATTTACACTAAATCTTGTACATGAATGTTCACAGCAGCATTATTCACAATGCCCAAAAATTCCAAATAATTCAAATGCCCATCAACTTACAAATGAATAAATAAAATATAGTATAGCCATACAATGGAATATTAATCAGTCATAAACAGAAATGAAGTACTAATACCTGCTATAACATTACACTAAGTGAAAAAAAATTACACTAAGTGAAAAAAAACAGTCACAAAAGACCACATTGTAATATCCCATTTATAAAATGGAAAGCCCAGAAAAGGCAGACTATAAAGACAGAAAGTAGATTAGTGGTTGCCTAGGTCAGAAGGAAGGTGGGCAGAAGGGCAAAACAGACAGTGACTTCCAATAGGTATGAGATTTTTGAGGGATGATGAAATGGTTTCAGATTGGTTGTAGTAATGTTTGTAAAACTGTAGACACACTAAAAGGCACTGAATCGTACACTTTCAATGAGTGAATTGTATAGTATGTAAATCATATCTTAATAAAACTATTTTTAAAATTCAATTTAAAATCATTTAGTAAATAGCTATCATGAGTAATACACTTCACTTGATGGCACAAAATGTAGTACAAAAAAAAAGTATTTTTCAAAGGTTTGTTGTCCAGTACAGTTATCCCATGTTATCTGCAGGGGATTGGTTCTAGGATAGACAGGCAGACACAGAAACAGATAACAGACACACACACACATACATACACACACACACACAAACACAAAAACCATGGATATAAAAATCTGCAGATGCTCAAGTTCCTTATATAAAATGGCATGGTAATTACATATTACTTATGTGCACGCTCCTGTATACTTTAAATCATTTCTAGATTACTTAGATGCCTAAAATGCTATGTAAATAGTTGCTGTATTGTATTATTTATTTGTATTATTTTTATTGTTATATTGTTATTTTTATTTTTTTCTTCAAATATTTTCCATCCATAGCTGGTTGAATACATGAGTGTGGAGCCAGTTGATACAGGGGGACAACTATATTTGTTAACTTCCTCTACCTACTGTATTCTTAGCATATAATACATCTATTTTAATTCCATTTCAAAATGGAAAAAAAATCCTCTTAGCCTTACCACCCAAAAAAGAACAGTTAAACAGTAATTCATTAATGATCCTGACCATGATATACCTTGTCAGCATGTAGAGCTATGTGTGTAATGACTACAGCTTCACAACACAGCCAGAATTTATGATGTTTTTAACAAGTGCAAGGGCTTGACTGGAATAGAAATTCTATCACTTTTGCCTTTGGCAAATGAAGGGAGACAAATTTTTAAACTGGCTTCTCAGTTCCCATTTTAATTAAAAACAAAAGGTTATCTTAGATTGGTTTGCACTAGTCTCAATGAATTATTCCCTTGTGGAAAGATTTCTCCAAAGACACTGACACTCTGCCAGATTCAGTACTTTATTTCTCTCCTGACGATATATTTAATTAAAACATTTCTTTATAAAATGGCACTCATTGTCCTTCTCAGAACTAAGAATCTGGAAGAGTATATTTAAAATGCTCTAAGAAAAAAAAAAACAACTACCTGTGAACCAAGAATACTATATATAGGAAAACTGACATTCAAAATTTAAGGAGGAATAATAATATTCTCAGATTAACAAAAGCTGAAAGGATTCATCGTCACTAAACCTGCCTTACAAGAAATGCCAAAAGGAGTCCCTCAAGTTGAAACAAAAGGACACTAAATAGCAACAAGATGAAAAAACACAGCTTGCTGGTAAAGGTAAACATAGAGACAAAGAATCCTGTAGTACTATAAAAATGGTACATGAAGCAATTTTAATTTTGGTATAGAAAGTAGAAAACAAAAGTATAAACAACTATAAAAATATGTAAATGAGTGGACAATATAAAAAAGGAGTAATTTGTAGTATCAGTAACATAAAAAGAGGGAAGAAGTAAAAAAAATATGAATGTGACTGAAGTTTATGTATGCAAGTATGTAAGTTTATGTTATGTATGTAAGTTGTTATCAGCTTAAAATATTGTTATAACTATAAGATATTTATGTAAGTCCCAGGAGAACCACAAAGAAAATACACACAGGACATACACCAAAGAAAATGAGTAAGGAATCAGTCTGTTACTATGAAATCAGTGAAACTAAAGGAGATAGTAAGAAAAGAGGAACATAAAAGGCTGTAAGACAGACCAAAAAAATTAATAAAACAGAAATAGTCCTTCCCTATCACTAATTACTTTCGATGTAAATAGATTAAACTCCCCAATCAAAACACTGATTGTGTGGTTGAATAATTTTTTTTAAAAAAACAAGATCCAACTATATGCTATCTATAAAAGACTCACTTTATATTTAGGACACACAAAGGCTAAAAGTGAAAGGATATGCAGTATAAATGGCAGCCAAAAGAAAGCAGCAACGGCAATACTTATATCAGACAAAATAGACATTAAGTCAAAAACCATCACAAGAGACAAGGACATTATATCATGATAAATGGTTCAATTCTCCAGGAAGACATGACACTTAAATATGCACCCAACATTACAGTATCTAAATATATAAAGTAAACATTGCCAGAACCAAAGAGGAAAATAGAAAGCAATGCAACAATAGTAGAAAGTTTCAATTCTTCCACTTTTAATAATAGGAAAATATCCAGACAGAAGATCAATAAGGAAATAGAGGACTTGAGCAACACTATAGACCAAATGGTCCTAACAAATATATACAGAGCAATCCACACAACAGCGGCAGCATGTTCTTCTGAAGTACACACAGAACTTTCTCCAGGACAGTTTACTTGTTAGGTCACAAGACAAATCTTAACAAATTTAAAAAGACAGAAAGCACACCAAGTATCCTTTTCAATTACAATAGAAAAGAAATTAGGGGGAAAAAATTCAAACTTCAAGAAACTAGAAGGAAAAAAAAATTAGCCAAAGAAAGAAAACTAAGAGTTTTTAAAAAATATCAACAAAACTTGACAAACCT